CCCTTACTATAGAAATGACCGTCTTATTTACAGGAGAGGGGGCACTGTGTGCATATTTACATTGTTATTCATGCTTTAACAAGTGCGTAACCGGATATGTTAAGTATTTACATAAATGAAACTATGTCTCGGCTACCATATCGCTCGGTCAGCTAAGATGGGTAGTCCATATATCAACAAGGCTCGTTCAACCAATTATACTAAGTTGGGCTTATCGATTAGCTCCTTTGGTCTAGCTGTCAACTATCGACCCCTAAATGAGAAGATCCTATCTCTATGATAAGAATAGGCTGTCAGGCAGAAAGTGAATCATTGTAATTCGATAGGTAGTTTACCCCTTGATCGAAGGTCGCTTTAGGGTGTGTGCGAAGTGTATCATGGAGAGAACCTTCAGCCTCCTGAAGATTTTTAGAGGTTCTTATAAGGAGGTTGGTGATGCTAGATCGAGAGTTGGGCCGATATCTTCTCTCGGCTTGATAGATATTGGTATTTAGCTTGTACGACCTTTGTTTGGCTAACTTCGGGTCTTGACCTAAAGAATATGTACTTGCTTTGACAATCAAATTTTTTTATCTTCCTGTGATGTGACCTTTGCTCTTCCTTTTGTGAGGGTCATCCTTGACCATACTTCTCTTTTAGTCTTGTATACACCGCAACTGTTAGCACGAATCTCAAAGAGATCGAACTGTTAAAAATAAAAAAGCTTCCCTCAATGGTAAACAACTAATCAACAAGTCACCGCCAAGTAAAAGAAGTCGCGTCTCTACACCGGGGCTGATCAAAGCTCTGGAAATGATCCCTCATCCGATAGCGACAAGATCTACCAAAGGCTGGGCATAATTCGTCCTAGCGGCAAGTCTAGCTAATACCCCACATAGACAGTAACAAGATCCACCTAAGTCCTTGCAAATAGGGATATCTGACTAAGGCGACGAACCAACCAGGTGGACTAGACGTAGGCTCCGTGAGACTTAGACTTGAGCCAAAGTAATAGATGAACCACGGTTCACTCGACAAAACAAATCGACTCATCAGCTGACCAATCAACCGACTGAAGCGCATGTAGAAACCCCTTGATCGCAATTGGACAGCTGACCTGCTTTTACAACGGCAAACGAGATCATCAATTGACTGAATGTCTCGGTCTACCGAACATAAGACACGTTCACCGCCCAGTCAATCGCCTAAGCCGGTCAAATTATAGCAAGTCGATCAACCTTTTACCGTTATATCAAAATTCAGATTGTAATAGATATATAAAATGCAATAAATGCAATTTATTAGAGCATTGATCATATTAAGAACAGTTTCTATAATTGTTCCATCTTGTTTGTAATTATACAGAGTACACCCATATAAATAAAAAAACAAAAATATGAATAAAAGGACTCTCCTCGATTCTCTCCACTCTTCATTACTCTCTTTCTTTTCCCATTCACTCGACTCTAACACTTGATGTGTATTCACAAAAACAATCTGAGATCCAACAAGTTCATTAGACTTTCTCGAGATTCATGCTCACTCATTTCTCACATACAAATATATAATAATGCAGCATTTAAATAATGCTTAAAAATTTTAGTAGCAATCACAAATCATTGTTTATCACAAGCAGCTTATAACTAAATAATATCATAAATACTCTATTTGATCGATTAAAACAATTCTAAATCATATAAATATCACCCATTTAGCAAACACAGATAGTTGACTATATATAAGCATTTTATTCTCTAACATAAAACCTTAGTTTTTCATTTAAGTTGGCATAGACAACAGAAAAAACTATCTTAAAAGCATCATTTAAGTTCGCATAGAGATGCATAATAATAATGCAAGTCTTAATGTAAGAGATAAACTAGGTGGGACCTCTTTGTATGCAAGTCTTTTGAAGTAGAAAGTTCTTGATATTGCCCATTTTTGTTACTGTATTTTTCACCTGAGTAGGCAAAGCTTAATGCAGAAAGCTTTAATACAAGGGTTTAATGGCTTATTTGCGACAACTTGCTACATACTTTGCGTTTCAGAATGTCACCACGATTCAGTTTGAATAACTACTTTCGTGTTGTCTGATTTTTCATAATTCTCATAGCTATTTCCAAAAAGTTGTTGTTCTCCATCACAGTTTTGCAAGCATATTATTAAAGAGTTGCAGCCACCCCAAACATATCCCAATAGAGAAATGATTTGAATTCTTTTGCAAGAAGATCATCAATAAATTAATAGATATTGCTACAAAAAAAAATTCATAAGTCATTCAAATGTTTGCATATGTAGATATGAGAATCAACACAAAGACACTTTATAACTCATATTGAGAAGTTTGCAAATCTTGAAAATATAATTATACTAATAATAATTTGATTGTCGTGGGCAATAATTAAATATTTTTAATTTGAGATGGGAGATGTCTGGCAAATAAAATACACATATATTTATATTTTTTATTTTAGATAATGTTAAAAAAGGTCATATCTGCTATTATATCAATGATCTCATAACAGTCGCTCACCATAAATACTGGCCTTTAATTTTTAAAACAGCTCAATAGCATCCAAATGCAGGGGGAGTTTAATTTTTTAAATGCCAACATATCTCACAATATATATTTCTTGTGTTGTCCTTTTGTGAATATTATATATATATATATATATATGGGTGCAACTGTTGGCTTATTGGTTGACAACTTCGGCGAAAGTCCCCTTTATCCCGATTTCGAACACATAACCATCTTATGTGGGTGCAACTGTTGGCTTATTGGTTGACAGCTTCGACGAAAGTCCTCTTTATCCCGATTTCGAACACATAACCATCTTTTAATATATATATTTGTGTGTGTGATGCGTGTTAGAAAATTCGTGGCGGTAAAGTAATGGATTATCGTCTTAGTGTTGCACGAGAATTCAACACACATAGATAATATAAGAGAATCACATAGATAACAGAAGACAAATAAGCAAAAGGAGACACCTCGATTTTTTACGTGAAAAACTCTTGAAATGGGGAAAAACTACGGGGCCTAGCTCAGTTGAAAATAATCTATTATGAATGATGAGTACACAAGTGAATGATGAGTACACAATTCTCCTAAATTAGGGAAGATGAAATTACAAAGTTGCATAACTATAATCTGACTGCAGTTCTTGGTGACAACAAGTTGCAAGGGTCATTGTTGATCGTTGTGGAGGTAGTACTTCGTTGTGAGTGTTGTAGATGGTTGCTCCATAATCGTTGATTGGCCAGAGAAACCGTAGTAAGTTGTTGTGGGAGCTGTAGATCACATATGTCGTAGTGACGAGTATGAATGAAGTTCGTACGCCGCAGGGGGTCGGAGTCCAGAGTTGCATGAGTTGTGAACAACCTAGCCCGTAGGGGCGGTTATGAATGACGTCCGTAGGTTGCAGGGACCGAAGTCAGGACCTGCATAAGATGATGACCACGTAGCTCGTTAGGCGAACATGAATGATGTATGTAGGCAGCGGGAGCCGGAGTCGGGAGCTGTATGAGCTCTTAACCACTTAGGTCGTTAGAGCGACTATGAATGACGTTCGTAGGTCACAGAGCTAAAGTCAGGAGCTGCATGAATTGATGACAATGTAGGTCGTTGTTGGCATATGGACCGCGTCATTGTTGGTACATGGACCACGACGACGAGCTCTTGTCCCACAGACAAGAAATGGTTACTATATTTTTCAGATTAAAGTGTCGATTGACGACATCTAGTTGGTGGTGGTTGACGAAAGCCGACAGTGGTTGACAACGGTCGGCAGTGGTCCGCGAAGGTTGGTGGCAGTCGACGGTGATCGACGGCAGTCGGCGGTGATGCTGAGCTGCAGATCCCAGGCTCTATCTATAGGCTTCAACTCCCCCCTCATGAGAGGGGCATGGGTCTATTTATAGTGTTTTGGGTGTCATTAATACAGAAATATGAAGTATTTTGATCGGACGGCCTGGAAAGCTTCCCCCAATCAGAATTGAGCAATCTTGGGCTCGTTGGATTCGTCTAGTTACGACGCACGATT